TACACAAGGCTAGAGAGTGAAATGTCAGTCTTCCTCTACCTTTTCATTTAAAGGTTGTTGATAGATGTTTCCAAATTGCCCTAGATAGTTATGAATTTTATTCTTATCTGCGTATTAAATCATGTTCTCAGCTGATGTTTTTGTTTAAATGGAGGATTAGAGTGAGGGTTACATCTTTTGATATTTTAAAGAAGCTGTGTTAGTGATGGGTAGGAATAGTTGTGTTGGAAAAATACAGAGGCAGTGACAACTCAGTTTGGAAACTGAGCATCTGTGGGTATGATTCAGTATATACTAACATGGTTAAGGCACAGATATTTTTTTGTTTTTCTTGTGGAATTTTTTTCTTAAATCCATAAAATATGAACGGAAAAATGTCATTTTAGTAATAGCAGTGTTCTGTTATAATTGATCTGAGAAATAGAATTTTCCCTAACTTTATGTGTAAGCTTAGTAGAGACTTAAAGTCTGTATGCTTGAAATACGGTTTCAGTGGGGCGGGTAGGAAGCCGGATGTAAAGCTTTTCAGTAGTCTTTGTCATTGCTTGGCTGATTTTCCAAATTATCTTTCTCTGCTACTTCACTTTATTGCATTAGAAAGATTTGAGGCCAAACCTAATACCATCTGATTTGTCAGTGAATAAATGAATCTCTAAAGCCCTCTGATCAGTTCTTTATCTTCAGCAAGCACAGGACTCCTTATTATTGAAGGCTCTGTGACTATGTGGGATTTCCTAGTTGATCAAATTCTGTGTCTTCAGTATGAATCTTGCTGGAGCCAGGAATGGAAGCAAGGGATTGGCAGGGTGAGAGTAAGCAAAGCATGTGTTTTCATGCTAGCGCACAAGTAAGACAGAGTTCTGCCCAATGGTGCCCTTGTATTTGTTTCATTGGTGCAGTGTTTCCTTTTTCCCGGTTTATTAGGGAGTCATCAGAAAAGTAGTCTTGGGCGCCTGGGTGGCTCAGTTGGTTAAGCGACTGCCTTCGGCTCAGGTCATGATCCTGGAGTCCCGGGATCGAGTCCCGCATCGGGCTCCCTGCTCAGCAGGGAGCCTGCTTCTCCCTCTGACCCTCCCCCCTCTCATGTGCTCTCTCATTCTCTCTCTCTCAAATAAATAAATAAAATCTTTAAAAAAAAAAAAAAAAAGAAAAGTAGTCTTACAGGAAAGCACCTTGATATACTGTGTTAGAAAAGATTGCTCACTCGTCTTCTTCCCCAGTGAACCTGGAGCTTGTTGAAGGCAGTGCTGGCTGGCACAATAGGTATTTAGTGGACTTAGGAACCGAGTACGAAGAGCCTGTCCACATCACGTGTATCTTTTCACTTTTTTTCTTCTTTACGTTTTGGAATAATTATAGATTCACAAACAGTTGCAAAAATGGTACAGAATTTCTGTTTATCCTTTACCTAGTGTCCCCCAATGGTTATGCATTCCCCTTTTTTCTTTCTCTCTTTTTCCTTTTTCTGATCATGGCTTTGGCTTGCCATCAGTATCTATGGGAAATACTAAACCCTCTGAACTAAAGATTGCTGATTACTCTCCTCAAGTTACTTGTGGGGATGCATATCGTTCTTCCTCTTCATTTGTTCTTGATGAAGCACTTGCTTAGTATGTGGTGCTGTGCCAGGTTCTAGTGGCTTCTCTCAATTCAGGCTCTCTTATTTTGGTAACATTAAGTATGGTGGATATATCCTTCCTTTGTGGATCTTTTTCATAAATTATATATACATGTCTACAGTACTCAGAGACCTGTGTGTGTTGGTGAGGAGTACCTGTGACTTGGTGGAAATAGTCCCGGATTTGGAGTTAGACGCTCAGGTTCAAATCCTGATTCTCTTTCATACTTGCTGGGTAACGTGGGAGTTACTTTGCTTCTGAATCTGTTAACTTTTCTGTAAAATAGTATGAGGGTAATAGTCATATAGAGAGGTTTTATGGGTTGATAAAAGTAGCATTTGTAGAATTACTTAGTGAATTGGAAAGTATTGTTTCAAATGTGAAGTTGCCTTGCTTATTCTAAATTGCTGAAATGAAAGCTGAATTTTAAACTACTTCTTAATAGCTTGACTTTGTGCAGTAACAGGAAAAACTCTTCCTGCTTCTGTCCCCCAAGTCTTTTTATGCCTTCTGTCTTCACATTGACTAACCAGTACTTAATAGGGTTTTTTTCTTTTTTCAACTGGGTGTAACCCAGCTCCCTTGAGAAATTTGGGATGGCCATGTCAGCTGTCATGCTATCAAATGACATATCAAATGCTTGCCTCTCTTCTTATTCACCTAAGTCTGGGGATTTCATGTTTCAGAAACCTCTTAAAAAATATCTCATGCAAGTATCTTTTTGGCTTACCTTTTTTGCAGGTTTTGCTCTTAGAAACCAACTGTTTTTTTTTTTTTAAGATTTTATTTATTTGACAGAGAGAGATACAGTGAGAGAGGGAACACAAGCAGGGGGAGTGGTAGAGGGAGAAGCAGGCTTTCCTCTGAGCAGAGAGCCCAATGCGGGGCTCAGTCCCAGGACCCTGGGATCATGACCTGAGCTAAAGGGAGACGCTTAACGACTGAACCACCCAGATGCCCCAGAAACCAACTCTTAATATGGTACCAGAACTGAGATTTTTTTTTTTTAAGGGTAGACCTGATTTTTTTTTTTAAGATTTTATTTATTTATTTGAGAGAGACAATGAGAGAGAGAGAGCATGAGAGGGGAGAGGGTCAGAGGGAGAAGCGGGCTCCCTGCTCAGCAGGGAGCCCGACGTGGGGCTCGATCCCGGGACTCCAGGATCATGACGTGAGCCGAAGGCAGCCACCCAACCAACTGAGCCACACAGGCGCCCCAAGACCTGATTTTTTAAATATGTAAATATGGGATATGTAAGCAGTATAAAAAGTAGGGGATACCATGAAAAATGTAAGATTTAGGTAATGGAAACTTTTTTTCTTAAACGTGGTCTAGGTACAGACAGATTCTTAAATTATTAAGGGACAGACATATATAGAACCATGCACCAAGTAGCAATAGAATACACGTGGTTCTCAAGTGCATGTGGAACATTCTCCAGGATAGACCATCTGTTAGACATAAAACAAGACTCAATAAATTTAAAAGGATGAAAATCATTCAAAGTTTATTCTCTTTCTGATCACAATAGAATGAAGTTAGATATCAGTAATAGAGAGAAATTGGGAAACTAAACAACAGACTCCTAACTCATCAGTGAGTAAAAGAGGAAATTACAAAGAAAATAATAAAATATTCTGAGATGGTTGAAAACGAAAACACACTATCCCATGGTGCCAATGGTTGCACAACGGTGTGAATGTACTTAATACCACTGCATTGTACATTTAAAAGTGGTAAATCTTATGTATGACTTACCACAATGTAAAAAAAACAAAACTCATTCATTGTTCAACAATGTTTATTGAGCGCCTACTATACTCCATGCCAAAAAATAAAACAACATACCATAATTTAGGGAATGCAGTGAAAGCATTGCTCAGAAGGAAATTTATAGCTTTAAATACTTCAATTAAAGAAGGATCTTAAGGGCGCCTGGGTGGCTCAGTTGGTTAAGCGACTGCCTTCGGCTCAGGTCATGATCCTGGAGTCCCTGGATCGAGTCCCGCATCGGGCTCCCTGCTTGGCGAGGAGCCTGCTTCTCCCTCTAACCCTCCCCCCTCTCATGTACTCTGTCTCTCTCTCTCATTCTCGCTCTCTCAAATGCATAAATAAATCTTTAAAAAAAAAAAGAAGGATCTTAAATCAATAACCTAAACTTCCATCTTAAGAAATTAGTAAGAGAACATAATAAACCAAAAGCAAGCAGAAGAAAAAAAATAAAGACTAGATTAGAAATAAATGATAGAGAAAAATAGCAGTGAAAATCAACAGACCAAAAATTGAAAAGATACTGACCAAGAGAAACAGAGTAAAGATTCAGATTAATAAAATCAGAAATGAAAGAGAGGACATCACTACTGTCCTTACAGAAATAAAAAAGATGTAAGGGGATACTAGGAACAATTATATGCCAACAAATTAAATAACTTAGATGAAATTATGCATTTATAGAAAGGCTCTGCTGCGATTGGCTCAAGAAAAAGATAGACAATCTGAATAGATCAGTAGTAAGTGAAGAGGTTGAGTTAACAATCAAGAAACATCCCACAAAAAAGAGCCCAGGCTCAGATGACTTCACATTTGGTGAGTCTATCATATCTACCAAATGCAAATTCTTCAGAGACTCTTTCAAAATAAAGAGGAGGATGAAATGCATTGAGCATGTTATTATTGTGTTACAAAAGCCATACAAAGACATCACAAGAGAATTACAGACCAGTGTCTTTTCTGAATATATACATAAAAAATCAACAAAATGCTAGCAAACTGAATCCAGGACTATATCAGAAGGATTATATACTATGACCAAGTAGCATTTATATCAGGAATACAAGGTTGATCTAATATCTGAAAATCAATGTAATATACCATATTAATAGAATAAAGGATAAAAACCATATTATCCTCTCAAAAGCTGAAGGAAAAGCATTTGACAAAATCCAACACCTTTTTATGATAAAAACTCTCAACAAACTAGAAATAGAAGGGAACTTCCTTAATGTGATAAAGGCCAGATATCCACAGCTGATGTCATAGTTAATGATAAAAGATGGAATGCATTCTCCCCAAGATCAGGAACAAGACCCTTCTATTCAACATTGTACTGGAGGTTCTAACCAGGGCAATTAGGCAAGAAAAAGAAATAAAATGCATCCAGATTGGAAAAGAAGTAAAACCATACTTGCACATGACATGATCTTGTATATAGAACATCCTATTAGAACTGATAAAGGAGTTTAGCAGGGTTGAAGGATGTAAAATCAATAAACAAAAATCAGTTGTATTCCTATATACTTGCAATGAATAGTTCAAAAATGAAACTAAAAACAATCCCATTTACAATAGCTATAAAACGAATAAAAATACTTAGGATAAAGTTAACAAAAAAAGTATAAATCTTATACTCTGAAAACTATAAAACATCATTGAAAGAAATTAAAGATCTAAGTAAATGGAAAGACAGCCTATGTTCATGGATCAGTTTACCTAATATTGTTAAAGATGGCAGTACTTCCCAAGTTGATCTACATATTTGGTACACTCACTGTTAAAATGCTAGCTGCCCGTTTTGTAGGAATTGACAGGCCTCTCTTAAAATTCATATGGAAATACAAGGGGCCTCCTTGTATTTCCAGAATAGTCAAAACAATCTGGAAAAAGAACAAGGTTGGAGGACTTTCATAACTTACCATAAAGCTATAGTAATCACAACAGTCTGGTACTGATATAAGAATAGACACAATACATCAGTGGAATAGAATGTAAGTCCAGAAATGAAATCTTACTTTTATAGTCAATTGATTTTCAACAAGGATGTTAAGACAATTCAATGGGGGAAAGAATGGTTCTTTTCTTTTTCTTTCTTTCTTTCTTTCTTTCTGTCTGTCTTTCTTTCTCTCTCTCTCTTTCTTAAGATTTATTTATGAGAGAGAGCACAACACACAGTGGGAGGGGCAGAGAGGGAGAATCCTTAAGCAGATTCCCCGATGAGTGCAGGACTCAGTCTCACCATCCATGAGATCACAACCTGAGCTGAAACCAAGAGTCCATTGCTCAACCGACTGAGCCACCCAGGCACCCCCGGAAGAATGGTCTTTTCAACAAATGGTGCTGGGACGAGTGGATATACACATGCAAAAGAATGAATTTGGACACTTTTCTCATTTGTGTGTACAAATGAATTCAGAATTAATCACAGAACTAAATGTAAGATCTGAAACTGTTAAACTCTTAGTAGAAAACAGGTGTAAATCTTTATGACCTTGGATTAGGCAATATTTTCTTTTCTTTTTCATTGTGGTAAAATAGGCAGTGATTTCTTTGGTATGATATTTAAACATAAGCAACAGAAGAAAAAACAAATGGACTTCATCAAAATTGAGAACTTTATGTTTCAAATGACACCATCAAGAAAGTGAAAGCACAGTCCACAGAATGAGACAAAATACTTGGAAATCATATATTTAATAAAGGACTTTTATCTAAAAACTCTTACAGTCAACAGTAAAAAGACAAACCCAATTAAAAAATAAACAAAGGATTTGATTAGACATTTCTCCAAAGAAAATGTTCAAATGGCTATGCCCATGAAGAGAAGTTCAGTGTCCTTAGTCATTAGGGAAATGCAAATCAAAACCACAATGGGATGCCATTCCACACCCACTAAAATGGCTGTAATAAATAGACAATAAGTGTTGCTGAAGCTGTAGGGAAATTCATGTATTGCTTGTGGGAATGTAAAATGGTGTAGACATTTTGGAAAATAGTTTGGCAGTTCATCCAAGAGTTAAACATAGTTACCATATCCTATATTCTAGTTAACACCTATTTGTGTATCGAAGAAAATTAAAATCATCTCCACACAAAACTTGTTCAGGAATGTTCGTAGTACCATTATTTATTATAGCCAAAAAGTAGAAAGGATCCAAATATCCATCAACAGGTAAGTTAATGAACAAATATGGTATATCTTTACGATGGAGTATTATTCAGCCATAAAAGGGAATGAAGTATTGATACATGCTATAACATGGGTAAGCCTTGAAAATAGTATGCTGAGTGAAAGAAGCCAGACACAAAAGGCCACATATTTTATGACTTCACTTACATGAAATGTCCGGAATAGGCAAATCCATTTGGTCAGAAAGTAGATTATTGGTTTTCATGGCCTTAGGGGAGGGCTTTGGGGAGTGACTGCTAAAGGATAGGAGGTTTTATATTTGAGGTAATAAAAATGTTCTTTAACAGTGGTGATGGTTGCACAACCTTGGGAGTATAATAAAAACTGTTGAATTATACTCACTGTAAGAGGGTGAACTTAATGGTATGTGAATTGTATCTTGGTAAAGCTGTTACTAAAAAAATCATGTAAGGAGTTTAGGTTTAGTGATCTGTTTTTCATTAGTATAGTAAACAAGTAAAAAAGAGATACTGTTTGACCAGGACTGTGAAAGGATAATGAAGCTCTGAAAAATGCTACAGAAGTCAAGTATTGCTAGATTGAGTAGAAATTTACATCCCCTCTTTCTAGATGAGCCAACTTATCAGTCTCATTCTGTTTCTAACGAGGCTCCTCTCCCCAATAAGCTGGTTCTCTACTGAGGTCTCTTGTCTTCATGTAAGATCCTTCCTTGGGAAGCTGCAGTCTATATTATGATTCTCTCTCTCCTCCCCGGGGTAACTGTGTTGTTGAGGTAACACTTTGGCATGCTAATGCTCACAGCAGTCTTGTGTATATGTTAAATATTTTGCATTGGGAGAAGAAGAGTCAGCAGTGAATAGTGAGATGTTTTCAGTTAGTTTTGGTCTTATAGTTCTTGCATGAATAAAATTGGGTGTTATTAAATAACTGCTCTTCTGTTTTGAGACTTTGAAAAGCCTTATCTCTTCTTTTGAAAAAATATAAAAAGTAGAAGAAATTTTTAAGAAGTAGGACAGAAACTCATAAACCTATTACTCGGAGGCCACACTTTATTTTATTTTTTATTTTTAAAAAGATTTTATTTATTTGACACAGAGAGAGATAGAGAGAGAGTGCAAGCAGGGAGAGTGGCAGGCAGAGGGAGAAGCAGGCTCCCCACTGAGCAAGGATCCCACGACCCTGGGATCATGACCCAAGCCAAAGGCAGCTGCTCAACGGACTGAGCCACCCAGGCGCCCCCAGGGGCCACACTTTAATACTTTACATATTCTATTTTTTTTCTATAATTCTTTCTACATGTAGGCTATATCGTACTATATATGTATAATTTAATATAATTTCACATCCTAATTTGTTTAGTTAATGAACAGTTTTATTACAGGTATTTCATATTTTTTTCTACCAAGTAGACTTAAGCTTTACAATACTTAAAAAAGAAAATTATGGACAGGGGTGCCTGGGTGGCTCAGTCAGTTAAGCTTCCAACTCTTGGTTTTGGCTCAGGTCATAATCTCAGGGTCATGAGATATCAAGCCTGCTTTGGGCTCAGCACAGAGTCTACTTCCCCTCTCCCTCTCCCTCTTCCTCTGCCCCCTCCCCCCACCCATGCACACACACTCTATGTCTCTCTAAAATAAATAAATACATCTTTAAAAAAAAAAATTACGGACAGGGCACCTGAGTGGCTCAGTCGGTGAAGCATCTGACGTTGGCAGGGGTCATGATCTCGGGGTCCTGGGATTGAGCCCCACTTGGGCTCCCCGCTCACTGGGGAGTCTGCTTGTCCCTCCCTCTCTGTTCCTCTCCCTACTTGTGCTCTCTCTCTCAAATAAATAAATAAAATCTTAAAAAAAAATAAAGTGAAATTTAGAAAAAAACTATGGACAATTTTAAACATGTAATGGAAGTAAAGAGAATAGTTTAACAACCCTCATGCACTTATCACCGAATTTTGGCAATTCTCAATGCATATCCATCTTGCTGCATCTTTGAGGAAGTTTTGAGGAGCAGAATAAAAGTAGAAACAACTTTTATTATTTTAAACCTGCCCCAGGAGAAGCAAAAACAAAATTAAAGCTATCACTTACAGACAAAACTATTTTATTTTAAATATTTTTGATATTTTAATACTTAAATATTTTAATCCAAAAAATTTTAAAAAATTACTTCATTGAAATACTAGTGAAGGCAAGTATTAACTGTTACTAAGAAGTTATCTGGTGCTGATGTAGTATCTTCTGTTATTTTCTTACAGTATATGTACAGTAATGTGGAGTTGTCGGGTTGTTGGTGTTTTGTTTTTCTTTTTGTTTTGGCATTTTTCTTCACCAGCATATTGTTTTTCACCACCACATATTTTGTGGAAGTAATTGGTACACTACTTCCATCTTCTTATGAATTTCAGAATTTCTCCTTGTTTGACGTTTCATTGACAGTTGTACATTATATTCCATTATATACCCACTGTAATACTGAAAGGGAGATTTTCCTCCATTATGAGATGGCAGTGTCTGATTTTTGAATAGTGCTTTACTATTGGTAATTATGAAAGTAACATATTCATTATAGAAAATATTTAGAAAATACAGAAAAGTGCAATGAAAAATCTATAATCTCACCACCAGAAGTTAAGCAATGTTCATGATTTTTTTTTTTTCTATTCATATGGCCTGCCCTTTCAATGGAATATGGTGAACCTTCTTTTATTCCTTTTTGGGCATTTGCATTATATGTTATGGCTGTTTTTTGTCCTGACTTCACTGTAGTTAATTATTATTCATGCTGGGGTGAGTGATTGAGATAGATAGATAGATAGATTAACTTTAATTTTTCCCCCCACCACAGAATCTTACGGTCTTTTGATCACTTGAATAATTCCAGATTTTAATATGTTTCCCAGGAAAATAATTGTATGCACACCCAAAGTCTCCTGATTCTGCTGTTCATAGATGATTTGTATAGAGCTCCCTGAATGAAGGCCTCCTGACTTTGGGGCTAGGAAATGATTGTTGGGCATTGTCTGTGTCCAGTCTTTCTGCTCTATGCCTAACTGGTTATTTCCATACTTTTTGAGGCTAAGAACTCTTTTTAGTGTCCAGCGTCACAGAGCTCTACAGAAGTGGAATTTTTAGTATTTGTTAATTGAGAAAAATGATCAAACGAAAAGAATTTCATTATCTTTGCCTTTAAAAATTCATAACTGTTTGTACCTGAGTTTGAAAAATTGTGGATATGAAGATTTACTCAGTTCATGGGTAACGTTTGGTGTGCATATGGAAGAATGCTCAAACATTCTTGTAATAACTGAACACTCTCATTTAAGAGGTGGGATTAGTGTTTACAGGTTGGGAACCGGTGCTCTGGCCTTTCCAAATTGCTGGTTTTCCTCTGACAGTCTCTTGCGTTTGTGCTTTGTCTGTATGTATTTGCACATTCCTTATACCTGGAATGTTTTTTACATTCTTCCTACCCTCCAATTACTCCTACTCCCCAAGAAGAAAATGAACTCAATTAATGATTGCCAGTGACTTTTGATTTTCAGCTCAGACAAACTTCATTCTTTTAACAAATATTTCTCAAGTGCCTTGTGTGTAACAGGCATAGTTACAGGCATTAGGTGAACATAATAAACAAGATCCGCACCTTCGTAAGGCTGACAGTCCTGTAGGAAAACAGACAGCAAATAGGTAAACAAACATGCGATAGAATTATAACTTGTAAGTGTTTCGAGGGAAGGGAATGGGGTGCAGTGACAGGGGACCCTCCTGTGAGTGGTCTTTGAAGGACTTGTTGAGGAGGTGACTTTTAAGCTGAAGCCCTGAGGCCTGCAGCCAGGCTACTGTAGGCATATGGACAGTATTTAAGGTAGAAGGAAGAGCAAGAGTGAGGCCAGTGTGGGCTATGAGTTCAGAGATACTCTGGAGAGAACAATTTGAAAGTCATCAGTTTAAAGGCAGTTTTTAAATTCATGGCAATGGATGCTGAGTGTTTTGGAGTGAGCAAGATCAGGAGATGAGAGGCATTGTTCTGAGCCCCTCAACAGCTCTGGAAGCAGAGCAGAGATGGTTAGAGAAACTCAAGTAGGTGCAGCCAGAAAAGTAGCAGGAAGGCGTGATCATTTGTTTTCACGAAGTGGGAAGTTTTTCAAGAAGGATGGAGTGACCAGCTTTGGAATGCTGCGGAGAGTTGGAGTTAGCAAAGTACAGAAAAGTATTGCTTGGATTTGCCAGCATGGAAGTCATCTGTGATCCTGATGAGCAGCTCCAGGGGAGCGGTGGCAGGTGAAGCCCGATTGGAGGGGCTTCGGGGTGAGCAGGAAGCGCATCAGTGCAGCTGATGTCCTGGGAGGGAGAAGGGTGCAGGCTGCAGGGCAGGGTACAAGGGCCCTTGGGGAGAAGATGGGAAAGTCATTTTGGAGAGAAGGGCAGAGCAAACTCACTAGAGAACATGAATTGAGGTGCTGGCTTGGGATACTTCGTGAAGTTTGAGATTATCAGTGTAAAATGAAACCGGCTGGACGCGTGTGTATGTTCCTTCAGCATGATGAAGGCACGAGAAGGCACCTGATTGTGTGTCAGGTTCTTCCAAGGTTTGGACTTACTAGGCAGCTTATCCCAGAGGGAGAGAAAGTTGAGGATAGTTTCAAGCTCTTAACACCCTTGTGGAATTGAATCCAGACTAAAAGAAAGGTCAAATTGGGAAGGCGTTTTATGGAATTGAGGAGGCTGGGGCCATGTGCTTGAGCATAGGAGCTGGAAGGATGGGCAGTTGTGGTTGCAAAGCCCGATTGCAGAACATGACAGGGAGCTGAGAGATGAGGATGGCTTGCTAATACCTGAGAGCAGACACCCGGAAGGTTAGAGGTCGAGGTGGCTGAAGAGAGAGGCCATTGAAGGATGCTGAGGCAGGGAAGGAGGGAGACAGGGAGGCTGGAGGCCCAATCTGCCTCGAGCTAGCCAGTGACCGCTGGCTGACAAATGAAAGCAGGGGCTGGCTGGGAGAGTGAGTGCTATATCTGCTCGGCGTGAGCTGCCCTGCCCCGGCCCTGAACTTCCCACTTGGATTTCCTCAGGCAGCCTTCTGTCTCCTTTCTCTGCCACCTGCAGCACCTTCTACAAACATCCTGCTTAGGACTCCTACGGATACTATTGCAACTATTTGCATTTCTGTCTCTTACTTCTTCCGGGCAGTGGGCTCCTCCTCGGGGGCCTGAGCCAAGCTTTACGTTCTGTGATTTCCGGCCGTTGGCATAGTACACACCAGTCATGTCACAGGCCCAGAGTAAATGTTCACTGAGTGAATGTGTGGGCTCAGAAGTGGGTGGGCTGAGGGGGAAGAGAAGGAAGAGTGAGAACAGAGATTTGTTGCTGGCAGGGCAAGGCAGAGTGTCTTTGTAAAATTTCAGATCATATTATAGAAATCATTACAGTGCAAAAAAGTTTATCTTATTGATAGAAACACACCGCTTTTGACTGAATGTGAGTAAATTCTGCTAATTTCTGGCTTCCGGAGTTGACCTTTAAAGTATTATGACTGCTTTCTACATATTTTCCAGGGAGATTTTTGATTTGTTATTCACTTCGTTGTGCTGCTAGTTTAAATTGTCCTTCTTGGTACTATTATATGGAATATTATTTTATTAAAGCTTCCTAAGTACTTGTGATTTGATTTGTTTCCTAATCCTCTGCTTCTTATGCCCCACATGCTGTAGCTATTTACCATTTTTGTGTTTTAATATTAAGTAAGTGCCTGTGCTTTGGATTTTCAATGTGGTCGTAGAGTGTTGTAGTATAGTGTTAAGAATACAAGCCGTAAGACTGCGCAGCTCTGGTTTTCAATTACTGCCTGACCTTATTAGCTTTAAAACTCTGGGCAGTTTTTTTGTTGTTTTGAGCCTTCCTGAGTTTCATTTCTTTATCTTTGAAATGAGAGTAATGATGCCCACCTATGTCACAGGTATTTCACGGTCTCAGCACGCTTCTTCCCTCAACCATTTACAAGTGTCCTCCTCCCTCATTTGCTTATGCTTCCCCCCCCCATTAAGTTTTATCATTTCCCCTATTAAGTGCACCCTATTACCTGATGGACATATGTAGTTTTAACTTGGTCATTCCAGGC